TGGACAGACGTATGTGAGGTGTGGACTTGGACCCTAGAGGACACATGCAGGCCAGTGGCAGGAGACCTGGGAAGTGATTTGACTTCTGTGTAACTATTTCCCAAGAGAGGAAGACCTTCAACCAGTGGAGTGACCCAGTGGCTGTTAATAATGGGCTCAGGCGTAGAGACAGTGGTGAGAAGGATGCAGGGCCGGCAGTGTCTGTTTCTGGTGTGCACAGGGTCACTGTGGGTCGGATGGCACCTAACAAAAACAGCAATCGAGCTGTCGGGCAGTGTATCCTGTAACCGAAAATAATGTGGAATCTGAGTAAAGTTCTGATTGAGAGGTTCAGAATAAATAGGTGAACCAGATTCCACTTAAAAAAAACAACCAAACAGTAAATAATAGAATTTATTAGTAAACACTAATTAGCAAACTTGTACTTAGATCTTCCCTGGTCTCTAAATCTTGTTGGTAACATAATTTGACACCTCGGTTGATGGTCACGTGCATTTATTGGTTTGTTTGAATGTGATTGTTTATCACTCAGTTTTCATTTTTCATGAAAGTAATACTCGGGTGATTTGTGCTTCTTAACCCTGGGTGCCTGGTCCCCACGCAGGGCACCGCAGAAGAGCAGCCTGTCATCTGTTTCCACAAAGTTTGCCGCCAAGAAAATCCTGTGGAGGGGAGCACTTCTACTCTGCAGCACATGAGGGCGCTAGCAGTCAGAATTGGCTTGATGGCAACTTTTTTTCTAATGTGTGGTTCATTTGTGGAGTTGCATATACTCCTTGGTTTAAACGTGAATAGATTTCAGGAGACTTAGGAGTAAGTTCATTGTTTGTTTTAACTTTTTATTGTGGTTTGTGATTTTACAGAGCGAAGTGGTTGCTCCTTCAGCACTTCTTGCCCATTTTCCTTCCTGGCATTGATTGCAACCTCCAGATTGTAGCAGCAGCGCTTTTCCAAGGCTTTGTTGACACTTTCAGTTCCTCCTTCTTCGCTCGCCCGCCCGCCCGCCCCACCTTCTGAGCTTTATCTAAGGGCAAATTTGGCCCCGTTGATGGCTTATGACCGAACGTTCTTAGGAGTACGGACTGTTCAATTTCTAGGCTTGTCTGCTGTTTGGCTGCAAGTTGAGCCCAGTGGTGAGTTGAGTTCCAGGCTTCAACAGTGAACAGAGGCCATATTCCCAGGGATTCCACCAGTCTCCTATCAGACCAGTAAACTTGGTCTTTTTTTTTTATGATATTGAGTTTTGTTCCACATTTTCTCCCTCTCCATTTAGGCCTTAGCAGTGGTGGTTGGGCACATCTAGTTCATCTAGTGTCTGAGTGGTGGAGACTGAAGCCCAAGTGGTCCCTTAGTACTTTGGACTAAGGTTTCCTTAAATCTTCGATTTTCTTCACTCTTTGCTGTAGATGGGGAGAGACCAAGAGTTGCCCTTCAGACGGCTGCTCACAAGCTTTTACAACACCAGCCACCACTCACCAAGGAGGATGGAGAGGGTTGTCTGTTATACCAGTTGACTCTGGACGATGGTTCTGAGCCCTCAGGCACGTTGACTCATTCCTTCCAAGGTGTTTGATTAGGGCTCAGAAGTTACTCCACTGTATACATGGGTATATTTACAGTACATATAATTCTGTCCATAGGAATATCATTTATCAGAGGAGTCTGGTTGGCCAATGCAACCAACCCTGTTTGT